GCAGTTCTGAAACGGTCTCAAGAAGCCACTAAGAAATGACGTCTATTAGAGAATATAGCAGATTTTAAATGTTTTTTAAAAGTGTATTTAGATTTTTGGGCTTGCACGCTTATAAGAATATATTAACTGCTGGCGTACTTCTAAAAACGTATAGCGCGTCAATACCACAATTGTAAAATCGAAAGATCTACAACGGTGAATACTAGTGGCTCAAATCGGTAGAAATATCGAATAAAAAGGTTTCCCTAGTGCGGGGCTATGTTGAGTGTGTGCGTTATTATTATAAAAAAAAAATAAAATAAAATAAATAGGTGCCCATTTTGGCGCTGTAGCCGCTTCTACATCAACTGTAGAACTTGTTAATGCAGTCTATACCGTTATTAAGAACTTCTAACTGGTTATTTTACGGCTTGTTATTAGAGCTTGTGTGCTAGTTGGGTTATGTTACTTTCGGTTTAATTCTGCAGCAAGCATCTTTTCTTAATACCCCATGTGTTGTTGACTTTATGACCTAGTCTATTACTATGCAATGTCAGACACACATTTGACTTAGGTTGGCCAATGCTCAATAAGTCGTCAGCCATATCTGCTTCCGAGTACAAGGTGCACTTTCGCCAGTCCAAATGGGATTTTCTTATAAAAAACATGATATTGATTATTAGTAGTAGTCAAACAGATCACAACTGACGATGAGAACTTAAAACACCAGCAAGCGGCGCGAGCGGACCAAAAGCTTTTTTCCCTCATTTATCATTCACCCGGCAGCTGCCATGCCGCGCCCCGCGCCCATGACGCCCATCTTTCCCGCTGGCCGTCGTCGTCGGCCCGTGGCTAATCGGCCTTATTTCCGACCTCACGTGTCTTAACTGTAACTTTAAGACTGTTTCCTTCTGATCGAAAGTCATTATTCAAATACGCACGCGTAACATAAAATTGAATCAATGCTTGGCACATAAACGATAAACGCGTGCACAATCGTTTCCCAAAACAAGACATCGAGCGAATCGTGCTAAACGAATTCCATACTACGTAGAAGCTTGATATTGGAAACCCCTGTTGTAATTGACACGTGATCGCAACGTTGAAGAATAAGAGCCTAGCGCCCCTGACAACGCGGTGGTGCGGCGGCCGGGGGTGGGTCTGTATTGTACTTCGATACGTTGCCTTCTCGTAATTGTATATGTTAATAATTGTATCAAATGTCGAGCGAAAGTGTAGGCCTGATTTATCGTCGGCCGGAGAGGAGGCCCGCCGGGAGGGTCGCCGGCGGAGGACGCCTCTCATTATTGGGGCAGCCCCTTCGTTAGCAGGAGAGTGCTTCATGATTCATACACCACTTTACTGGATTACAGTTACAACCAAATCTATCTTACAAAAGTAATTTAAAAACAACTAATGAAATGAAACTATTTTTCCGGATTTAAATCGCGTATATTTGTTTTTTCAAACAAACCGACGTTTCGGGCCCTTTACAGGTCCCATGGTCACGGTTGACTGAAACCTAAGAACTCGATAACTAATGAAAGTTTGTAATGTATTGTGTTTGTAGGTACTGTAATACGAATAGGAATATACCATTAGATGAGAATAGGTGTACACTGGCGTCCATTCGTGACACTGATGTAAAACTAGGTTACTTTCTTGGCCACGAAAGAGTCGTCGCCGGTGGGGCTATCCAGCTGTTTATATACTAATCTAAAGTTGTTAACCCCTTCAGCAATCAGTATCGCCACTCGCACTAACTCGATTGCCTTCGGGAAATCGGAGCAGACGATTCAATTTGCGCTCCGCTTTAAACGGTAACCACATCGAGTGGATTTCCTAGCAAAATTAGTTTCAGCTGTGCAGCAAATGCATTTATTAAGTCATATTTTCCTGGAGCTCTGCTTTCGTTGGGTGATGAGCAACAACGGCGGGCGGTTGGCAAAGTCGCCGCGTGAGATGACCTTCACCCGCTGCGGGCGTTGCGCCAATAATTCACAAGCGAATTTTATTGGAGCTGTTATTTGCAGCGGGCGGGCTTCTTTTCAGCAAACGTGAGTCTTTATTATTCAACCAGGAAGCAACCATTCCTCATAATTCTTTTCGTTTAGGATATACTTTTTATGATTTTTAAAAGCGAACAAAAGGTGTGGTTCGGACGGGGTGTGTCAACAAAGCTGGAGATAGCCCGCGCGGTTCACGTGGTGGTGGGCACGTATGCAGATATGGTATACATGGATGGTAGGTGAACAGACGAGAATAGAGTGCACTCTGTCGCGATGGCGTCGCCCCACGTCGAGACAACCCTTCGGGAATATATTTCTGTCAGACAGCTCTCATCGCATGCATACTGTCACTTTACGTGACAGACTATCAAGATCATGATACACGGTAGCATAGCAAAAAAGCTGAATAAGTTAGGTTAGGTGTTAATATGATTATTTACCGTGAAAATTAGACTTAAAAACACAGTTAGACCGTGAAACATATTATTCGATGTCATATCGGCATATGTACAATGACCTACAAAAGGAACGCATTCACTCGGTCGCGGCTGACAGCCGAAATTGATAGCAAGCCGTGTTCTAGTGCACACTTTTAGACAAAAAAATACCAATAATTAAAAAGTAAATAATTGCGATTCATCGATCGTTTGTTCGCTTTGCCCGGCAAGCCAATGCTCGCCACTAGGCGCGCTGATTGATTCGCCCGCGCCGCTACGGTTATTTGCACATGAATACGCGAGGTCGATGCGACTGACCTCTCTTCACCATCAGTCATCATGCCTTTATACGCCGCTAATCGCCGTGTAGCGAGCGCCAGAGGGCGGCGGCGCCCTTCACCGGCATCGTTGCCTGCCTCAATTGAAAAACTTAATCTGTGTTTCTTATTAGGAGATTTATAATAATAATAATAATAATAACGCACACACTCAACATAGCCCCGCACTAGGGAACCCCTGTGTCGCTGGTGCCATGGACACACACATAGATAACCACAAATTACACCCAAACTCAAGAGAGAAATAAATGAAGGCCATACAAATATTTCTCCCGGTCCGGGAATCGAACCTGGGACCTCTGCGTGGCAGTCTGGCATGGTAACCGTTCAGTTAACTGCCACCGAGGCAGTTAATTAAAGTTAAAGACAGTTAATTTAAAAGATACGAGTGACTTTCCATGTTGTAATTATAAACGTTCATAATATGATTTTCATTTTTAACAAGGACCTACTTGCTAATGTGTAAAGACTGATTTTTGGGTCAGGTGGGTGCAGAATTATATTCATTAAATAGCCTGTTTATCAGCGTGATATGGTATAATAAACTATATACTTGCAGTTTACGTAACATTCGGTAGGTACGAAGTTTCGGGAAAACTATACTACAAACTACGGAGAGAGGAGGACCGGTGTTGATCTGACGGGAAGTAGGTCACGATCGGGACGCCGCCGATCGGTGCGACCTTTTTTTTTTTTTTTTTCTTTTTTTTTACGTCATATTTTCCTGGAGCTCTGCTTTCGTTGGGTGATGAGCAACAACGACCTGCGGTCTGTCACCGACACTCTTCTCGCGTCAATAGCTTTGTTGCTATTTGTAATACGCGAAACACGAGCAGCCGCGACTTTCACACTAATAAATAAGTAGCATATTCTTCGAAAAGGTAAGGAGTGTGTTATACTTCATGTTCACCACATGGACCCCAAAGTGATTGCAATTTCACATGAATAAAAGTAAATAAAAATAAATAAAAGTGAACGAATTGGTACCTAACACGAGTCGATTGACTTATACTCGGCTCACAGGCTGGTTTAGGACCGAGCTAGTGCGTTAGGGCCGCATTTACGACTAAAATTCTCCAAAAATTTAGTTGATAGCACTTCATTTGAATATTAACGACATTGTGTATAATAATAACAATAATAATCATTTATTTCGGAACTGGTCCAGAAACTGTTAGTAAATTACAAAATGCTAAGCTCTAAGGGTTAGTTTATTGTACCATACATAAGGACGGCGACACAAAAACAAAACAACATTTAATTTCTGTACGACCGCATGTTGTCGCATCCAATGCGCGAGCATCGGCGAGTCCCAGCCTGCGGACAACGCGCTCAGGATGCGGTTGGGGCTGTCGCGCAGGCGGTGCAGCATCGAGGCGCACCTCTTGCGTATGATGGCTGCAAACCCGTTCGAGTGCGCCTCCGCGAACATACCCGAGGCGGTACAGAAGCGCGACAGCCCCAGCAATACCCGGAACGCGTTGTTGTATTGCACGCGCAGGCCGTTGTATGTCCCCCGCGTATAGTCGACCCACAGACTGCACGTGTAAAAAGATTGGCAGTAGGCTTCAAAAAGCGTTATCTTTACTTGTTTTGTACATCGTGCAAATCTGCGGGCCAACATATTGGCTGGAACAGCCAACGACCTGCGCTCCCTCTCGATGTCGCCATTGTCACAAAGGTCATCCGTGACCCAGTGATCCAAGTACTTAAACCTCGTAACCATATTCAAACGAGCGCCATTAAGTGTTACATCAGGTACAATAGAGTAACACTTAGTACTTGCCTTAAAAATCACCAGCTGGCTCTTCGTCACATTGTACTTGAGTCCGTGGATCACATTGTATGACTCCCAAACTTGCAACATAGACATAAGTCCTCTAATCGAAGGGCTGAGCAGCACCATGTAGTCCGCGTAACTGATGTTATTAACACTGTATGTATGACCGTTGTGGCCGTGAATAAACATGCAGCGTTGTGTACAAGGTAAGCTACTCAGAGTTTTGCGTGTGTGCGCGTGTGTGCTTTTTTATTTTAATAAACCGTTTTAGTAAGTATTTTAATGAGTTTATTTTCCTTTGTTGTTGTTAATTTCGATTTTTTTTACAAAAGCCATGAAACATTTCTTTGTCGATTATACTGCAATGACTAACATTTTTTAATCTTCTCTTAAAAAAAACAAAGCACACGTGTGACCCACTTTGGAAAAATTATAATTTTAATTATAATGACTTATAATTATTTTGTTATAACATTGTGCCATAAAAATACTTATTATTATTTGAATTCAATATGTGACTCGAAACACAAAAGTGTTAATAACTGCTAGGAAGTGTAACCGTCGTCTATAAAACTCCATAATGGTGTAATTTTGTTTTTTTTTTTTATGTAAAGAAGGAGGCAAACGAGCCGACGAGCCACTTGATGAGGTGGTCATCGTCGCCCATAGACATTTGGAACATCAGATGAGCTGCCTATGCGTAGCCAGCCTTTGAGAGCCCTGCATATATATCATAAGTGCAAAGGAAATACTACTTTGTTATCTATTATATAACGTATTTAGTAAATATTACTTGGCATGTGTCAAAAGAAATTAGGACAATAGTTCGTTCCGTGGCTTAGTTGGTATAGCGTCTGCCACGGTATGCAAGAAGACGTCGGTTCGATTCCGACCGGATCGAAGGAATTTTTTCTGAGTGTTCGATCTTTGTATTAATAATTATAACAAACTAGTGGAGTAATTTCACAAAAAATAATTGAATATCAATTCAATAAAAAATTAATTAATACAGTGAATAGCGACATCTCTCGCCAGGACTGGTAGATGTAAAGGTACTAACTGGGTGATAAATCTGTCATAGATTTCTCATAGATGGCGCTACGACTAAAAAGTCGTTGAAAGACCAAGTACAAAGACACGATGCAAGCACATAGAAAAATTCGTGAGGTCCGTAGGTTCGTTCCGTGGCTTAGTTGGTATAGCGTCTGGCAAGGTATGCAAGAAGACGTCGGTTCGAATCCGACCGAATCGAAGGAATTTTTTCTGAGTGTTTTTACCTCTCCGCGGCCTCCTTTTGCGACATAACCTAAAAGGAGGCCACCGCCTCCCAGGACTCCTCGCTATCGAGCATGGCGGCAACCTCGCCCGGCAGCGAGAGGTCCTACCCTATAGTCCCCGTCAGATAGCGGCGCTGCTCATTCCACCGGCTGCACACCTCTAGGGTGTGCTGCGCGGTGTCATCCGCAGCGCCGCACTCGTGCCACGACGGGGATGGTTCCCTCCACGTCACCTTGTGATCGAAGCAGCTGTGCCCGGCCAGCCCGTGGGACCGGTATACCCACTCTACGAGGACACGACGGATCGCCCCTATGGTACGAGCGTCATAGAGAGCTTTATAGCCTTACCCAAACTTAACCTAACTTTTTTTTTACCGTGAGGAAAATGTGTTACGCATTCGCATTCCGATATGTGGGACTCTCTCCTGGGGGTCTATGTCGGTCCCCAAGAGCATACCCACTAAAAACTTCATGATGTTCCTGCGCGCATCTGGCGCCGAAGTCCGCCGAAGTGCCGAAGTGCCGGTCCACCGTTGGGCAGACCCCTTGGCTACACCATACCCCCCTTAATCATGGGGGGTGACCTGCACGGGGAAGCCCCGGAATATTTGGGGCATCTACCGGCGGCGGAGGCCTGTGCATTGCAGGGGCAGGGTCTCCCAACCCTGCACCCTGCTGACCTCCGCTGATGGGACGCAGGCGGTCAGCGAAGAGCCATCGCGTGCGTTCTTTCCGCCGACGCCGAATGGGGTCCGAGAGGGCACTGTCTTCGCGGACCCGTTCGGCCGTCTCCTTTTGCGACATCACGTCCTTGCAGAAGAAGACCATCGCCTGCCCTGAGCTCTCGCTTCCCAGCATGGCTCTAACTATGCTGGATAGTGAGAGGTCTCGTCCCACCACGTCTACGAGATCCCGGCGCTGCTGGCTCCAGGTCGGGCACACCTCCAAGGTGTGCCTCGCCGAGTCTGTAGCAGCGCCGCACTCGTGACACTCCGGGGTCACCTCCCTCCGTGCGATCTTGTGCAGGTAGTCACCGAAACAGCCGTGTCCGGTGAGTACCTGCACAAGACGGTAGATGAGGGACCCGTGCCTCCTCTTCCTCCAATCGGCCAGTAGCGGGAGCAGCGATTGAACGGTGCGCTCCCCGTACCTGGTCGATCGCAGTGCCTCCTCCCTCCCCGCCTGGACGGCGGTCTTGGCGGCATGCCGCACCCTCACTAGCTCCTCTAGCGTGGGGCGCTCTCCACGTATACTGGCTTCCGCACGGCACCTGTAAGTCTGCTCAAGGACGGATGCCTCGAGCTCCCAGGGTGCGGATCTAGCCAGGGCGCATGCCGCCGCACCGCCCTCACCGCCCTCACCGCCATTAGCTTCTGCTTTCTGCGTAGAAGCGGCCGCAGTCTCGTGGTGAGGGCCTCTGCCCAGATAAAACTTAACCTAACCTAACCGAACCTAATCGTGTCAATTTTTAATGAATTTTTTGCGCGGAGCAGATGTTCACTTGTTCGATTTTCAGTCGTAACTCTAAATTATAACTTGTAGCAACATATCCTGAAAGAAAGAGCAGAGGGATGAGTTAAAATTGTATGTTTTGCGTGCGACTGATGTCCAGAGTATTGATTTTGTAGGAATATTATTAGTTGCATTCGGTCTGGTGTATGTGATTATTATCGAGGCTTCTTTTTCCAGAGCGGAATCCTTTATAAGAATTGTCGTGTGAATCAAGATATGGTTCCGAGTGAATTATTTTCAGAATGTATGAAAGAACAGCATGACAGCGCGTTGTCAGGTGGACATTTTGGTTTGTTTAAAACTTTTTCAAAGTTTGGATACACACAGATATTTTATGGTAGGCGCAGAAAAAACAATTGAGGCGCATGTCAAGTGTTGTCAGATGTGTCAGGAACGTAATTTAAGTAGAACTGATGCGCCGTTACTCTCGATTCCCGTGAATAGTATCTTCGAGCGGGTAGTAATTGATATTTTAGGACCGTTTAATCGTTCGGATAGGAGCAATAAATATACAATTGTGAATATCGAATATTTGTCTAAGTATGTGGTGTGCAGGACCGTACCCAAGGTGACAACGGAAGCAATATGTGATTTTCTGGTGTCGGTGATATTTTGTAGGTATGGCGGAGTAAAAGAAGTTTTGAGCGATAGAGGATCGGTGTTTACTTCTCACTTGGTAAAAGAGACAGCGCGAGATTTTGAAGCGATTATGGTGCATACTACGCCATTCAACGCGAAGTGCAATGCTTTGTGTGAGAGATTTAATAGGAGGCTGTTAGGAATGTTGGCGAAATATATAGGAGGCGAACCAAGGAATTGGTGTAGCATGTTACCATTGGTGTGTTTCGCGTACAATTCTAGTAAACGTAGTACAAGATATTTATACAAGATATTTATTCGCTGAAAAATGTAGTTTACAATGGTGTTATATAGTATAGTACATTATTATTAGATTTCACCAAAACTTGGCATGCGAATATTTTACACAATTCTTATTTCAATCACGCACAGTGGTTAAATTTTACATTTTATGTTATCTATTAAAAAATCATTTATGTTGTAGTAGCATTGTGTAACTAACAAATTATGTAATTTTATTTTAAATTGCCTACAATTTAGTTCTTTAACTGCATCTGGTATTTTATTAAATAATTTAGGTGCCAATATAAACATCGTTCTATTGTAAAATTCCAAGGTGGAGCGCTGTTTTGGCCGTATTTCTATTTTGTTCCTTGTTTTCCTGGGATGTCTGGTTTTCACTAGATTAAAGTTGCCGGGATTTTGTTTTATATAAACACAGGCCTCGTAAATATACATAGATGGTAGGGTTAAACTCTTTAGTTTTCTAAAATAGGGTACACAGCTTTCTCGCTGGCCCACACCAAACATGGCCCTGACACATTTCTTCTGGGTTTTAAACAGTGGTGTAATAGTGTTGCAGCAGCGTTCCCCCGAAGCAGCAGACCATATCGCAAACTAGAGGCTACATAGGCGTGATAAGCACAAAGAGCAGTTTTTTGTGACGTTATTCTCGTCAGATTTTTCAGGACGTATACGTATTTACTAAGTTTAGTATTTAACTTATTTATATGTGACTTCCAGTTCAAGTGGTTATCAAGAGTAAGGCCCAAGAAATTTGTTTCATCAACCTGAGCTACATTTTGTGCATTGTTGGTTATAGTTAAATTTTTTGGTCGTGATTGTGGCATGTAGAATTGCATAAACTTAGTCTTGTCCAAATTTACTACGAGATTATTTAATTGTAGCCATTTTATAGTGTCACTTAGTGCATCATTTAAAGTTGATTCATATTCATCAATATTAGTGCATCTCACAACCACAGAGGAATCGTCAGCAAAAAGTATCATCTTTTGTTGAACATGGTCTGGCAAGTCGTTAATATAGAGAATAAATAATAGTGGCCCTAGTAGTACCCGGGGTGTCACCATATATGGTTTTGTTCGGTAGAGAATCCTTATGTGCGTCAGATATAGAATTAAGAATTAATTGTATCAATATTGCGGAGAACTTGCAGGATAAGATTTTAAAACAAGCAGCGTTGGTCGATGTGGTTAAGGAACGAATAGTGAGGGCGCAGATAAAACAGAAGCGAAATTATAATAAGAAAGCAAAAGTAATTGTGTGTCAGCCGGGAGACTTGGTAATGTTATATTGTCCTAGGAGGGTTTCCAACAAAGTGTAAAGTTAGCTAGATTGTTTAAAGGGTCGTATAGGGCAGTAGATCGGTTGAGTAGAGTTAATTATATTGTGAGAAGAATAGATGTAAATAGGAGTAGATCTGGTAGGCAGGATCTGGTGCATGTGAACAGGTTGAAA